TGGAACTGAAACCTCCTGCCCGTACGAAGGGGCCAGCTACAGACCGAAGCCGGGGCAGTCACCCTTCAGACTTGCTAATGCCTCAGATAAAGCAGGTGCAGGGGAATAGGACAGCTGATGGACGTTTGTGAGGCTCGAAGGACTGCTGTGGCTACATGACATCAAACAGCCAATAGCATTTACGTATTAACTTCCAAATACTGCATTTACAGCCAGCCAACATCAGAAAGTTCTGCTTCAACAAGATAACAAATCATGCTTGTGCGGTCTCTCCAGGCACATATGCAATGAAACATCTTTACACACTTTTCATTAAAATCACTGGTAAGATAGGGCAAATTCACACAAGAATTTAATTGCCTAACTGCCTCACAAACAAGAGCTTTACTATCAGTGGTAACATTTCCCTCTCTCCTTCCCTCCCTGTCCTTTCTGGAGATTACTTCTGGAAAAGTAAGAGGCTGGCAGGAAGCGATGCAGCTCTCCTCTGCCTGGACATTCTGATCAAAAACTCATCTGCCCTGACACGGTGAGACACTGCGAGCAACAGAGAAGCCCCAACAAACCAAACCCACCCCAAACGAATCACAGAGACTATAATTACCTTGGTTTACAAATACACATATTAGCATCAGGTATATAAATAAATGCTGTTTTTCAAGTTCCTTGACTTTCACTGGCTGCTCTGAAAGAAACAAAAATTTGAGAAGTCTCCTAACATTGCACACAGCCTCGTGGAAAGGCGTTTGCCGTCCGGTGGCTGTAAGGTCACCCTAGTGCGTGGTCCACGGAAATGGCAACAATCAATGTTTATCTGTCCCAAGTCACAACCACCATTTTTTTTATACATATATATATATATATATGTACACACACACATGCATGCAACTTAATTGCACGTGGACTGCTGTGGTATTTCCATGGTATGGATCAGGTGGTAAGTCCCTGCTCCTAGGTGGCAAAGGAACGTTCCTATAAAGCATGAACCATCCTGCTACAAAATCACCCAGAGAGCTCCTCCTTCCCCAAGAATTACTGGCACTTCTAGAGAGACAGGAAGATTTTCATTACATAGCCTCTTGCCAGCTATACTTTCAGCATAAACCCATCCCCTTTCTGTTACTGTTATGTCAGGGGAGGACAGTGAAAGAAAGCAGCTCTTGGGATGATACATGGGAGGCAGTGCTTCATTTATAACCCCACACAAATACTGGAAAATGTTCAACTTTAAAAAGCATTAGGTTGGTTACCTTATGGGCCCCTGCGGACCAAGAAGTGAAATTACATGAACACAACATGTCTATTAATCACCGCAATGATTCCACAGTGAGAAACAGCCCCCAATGGCATACATTCAACTGGAAAGAAAGTTGAGAAAATTACCTACTAGTAGTTAGGCAACTCTAAAAAACTTGGTCATACCTTTCTGTAGGGCTCCCCTCTTGATTCCTCAATTCAAGTATTTAACTTGGATTAAAGCCCAGTCAATAGAAATCTACAGTGGAGAGTAACAACGGCATTTCTACCTAAACACGCGTGTTTCCTCTCAGCCAGAGTCACAAATAAGCTACACTTGTATGAGATGCACAGGCAACTGTCCACTTCATAGTCCTTTGTTTACAAGGTAAAGACCGATTTGGGGAAAAAAAACCCCAAACCAACATTCTCAGTCTTCTGTGTCAAGACAGATTATAGGTCAACTGAAATTGACCTGTAATTTATTAATTTAGGTATTATTTCAGAGAACAGAGTAGGCTACAGCAAGCTTCTTCCATCCAGGATTCAGAAACTAGAACAATTTACAACACCTTCGAAAGAAACCATCAAGGTCCCAGCCTACATGTAAAATCTTCCTAGTTATTATGGGTAAGTATATGTGTTTATCTGTAAAAGCAAGATGATGGACCACTTTTCATGTGCTCAGAATTTGCATTTATCCCTAAGCCTGTGCTATTTTTATCACTTCCACTTTTAAGAAGCCTTGGCTTACATGACTCTGCTTCGTCAATGCCTGCAGCAGACCTGAATGTGAGAAAGTAGACATTTTCTCTAGTGGGGAGAGTGGCAACGGAGGTCACACCAATTACCTCAAACCACTTGGCTGCCACGGCCATCTTTTCACCTCTGCAGTAAACAAACCATTGGGGCTGCTCCGTATACGAAGCAATTCCTTTGACAAGGGCTCCACATCGACAGTACTCTGGACCAGCACTTCAAAGCCCAGGTCTCCCACAAAGACTCCCATGCAGATATCACAACCACTTTTGGCAGTTTCAGAAGCCATCCCATCCTTCAAGGCAAAGCAGTTTGAAAGACAAAAGATGCACAGTTAAATCTAAAGAAGTAACAGTGTGAAATAGAAGAGCTTATCCTACTGTTTTCTTTGCGTAATGCAAGCTTATAGGGTACAGAAAATAAATCTTTGTTTGCACACTATAACCTATACTAAACAGACACTTAAGAAGTCAACAAATGCAATGTGTTAAGAAGCAACCTTTTAATAAAGAAAGCAGAACCATACTTTGCTGTTTACAAATATTTTGAAAAAGGCTTATAAAATTAAATCTACGCCAATTATCTGGTGCATCTGCAGCTGAGAAGGAAGTGTCAATATTCCAAACATCTGCTCAGTTTGTGTCCTCTCCTTTCTGACAGAGGAAGTACTAGCTTCCAGTTGTACAAGGGATGACGAGAGCAAGAAGGTATTGCTCAACTAAAACTATTTTCTCAGACGATTACAGACCAAGGCCAAAGAAGAAATTCATACGTTAAGCATCGTTACCAACATGGAAGCCTGTCAAAGATGCCAGTCTGAACAGCACAGCTTCCTTCCTTGCCCCCACGCCCAGGGGTCAGCTCACCACCAGGGCTGGGGCTGCTGAGAGCAGCCAAATCCAGCCCCGGGGGAAGCCCACTCCAGCCCCTCTGGAGCTGGCTGATGCCAGGGATGGGCAGGAGGAGGACAGTGTTTTCTGTAGTGCAGCCGCAGGGTGAAAGAAGAATCCCAAAGCACTGGAAGAAACAACACAACAACAACAACAAATTAGCTCAGTTTCAAAGCCAACGTCCTCCTACAGGCTCAAGGTACGAACAAAAAAACACCCTGTATCTTTCCCTCAAGGCAACAGAGCTGCGATCCCCTCAACGCTGATGCCATGAAACAGCCTTATAGTAAACATTAAATATTAGGCAATACACACAAAAGAAGAACACCCCTCTGGAAGCCGCGGCTCCAGCCCTGGACACTCACCCCGGCGCGGTCCGCTCACCCG